TTACGTCTTGGAACAAAGGTTGACATTCCTTGTACATTTCTGCCCACTTGATTGTTTATATTCTTGCGTAATACAGCGTTGACTGAAAGAAGCTCAGTCACCTTGTTTTCCTGTTTTACGACGTAAGACTTCCATCGTCATCTGAATGTGTGTTTGAAAATTTACTTGTCAATTCATTCAGCACGCTTACCTCCTCCTCCTTCCTAATGTTTCTCTCCCTCTCACCCTGGCAATACATTCGCAATAAATAATCATCTTTATCACCCTGAGACTCCAATTTTTCTGTCATAGTAAATCATTTTATATCAGACGGCACAAATTTTATCGCATTGTTATGAAAGCATTCTTATTATCCAATTATTTAATCTTTATACACCGTGTCTTTTGCACAGTTGATGTAATCAACAAACAGTGACAACGATGATGATGACGGTGAAAAAATCGAACACAATGTAACTGTAACGAGTCAAAAGATGAAAACTACTACTGTGCAAACTAAAAGACAGAAATTGAGTAAAACATAACGAGCTATAAAAACATTGTGACCAAGTTGTTGGAGACATTTGCCTTTATTTCATCAGTCAGGTCTTTATTGAGATCAAGCTTCATGCATATATAGACGTAATCCGGACATTGAATTAGGTCTAGTGATATTGGTTTCAAGCATTAGTATCTTGTCCTTATTTCCATCATTCAGATATTGCTGTATACCCTTATGGTGTTGACAGCTCTACAGCGGAAGTGTTTAGCGCTTTTCGATCACTGATCACTAAATCCCCACAAACCCGAAATTGAATTGATCTAATGCTTATTGGTGACTAGTTTCAAGAGGTGATTCTTGAAGTTCCAATGAGAAGTCGTAACTGGTAGGGTAAACCTGGTGGCTGTGAGGATAGGTACTCAACGATGACATTGGACGATAGTCGCACTATGTCGCGAACTGACAGAAGTTGGAAATACGGACCATTGAATTCTGACCCACTGGCCCAATGTTGACGTGCTAGCAAGGGGACCTGAAGGTCCTGGGTTCGATCCATAGGGTGTGGGGTCATGGGTGCCCACCACTGAGGATACCCATACTACGAAGAAACAGCTGTCCGGTGCTCCCAGGTTCCCAATATCCCTCCAACTGATATCAGTCCATGATGAATACCAACATGAAAAAATAGAATTAGTCTCAATGAATTCTCTGATTGTCAAAGTATTCCGTTCAACCGAAACAAAGATGTTTCAATAGGCATTAGTAATAATGGTAATTATTATGTATTCTACTTTATAGGACTTCTGATCTTCACTGATTCCTGTTTCAAATAATTCAGGTAAGCTTGACTGACAGTCATTGGTGTGACGAAGGAAGTTCTACCGTCTGAAACACATACACAGTTCTACACACAATCAGCAAAAAGCACAAACATTGCTGCATTCCTAAATGGCGGAGAATATTTGTAGCTCAGGTGGATGGTCATGAGTGTATTGTGTTCTCAGAGCTTGGTTGTCAAGTTCTAGAGTTTTCATCTTCTAACTAGACGACATCTTCAGCAATAACTTCCGTTTTCCCGGAGTATTATCAAACATTTGACAGGTGACAACTAGATGTATGACAGTCAAGCATACTCAGATTTCTGCACAACCTGGTCACAAGCACCCACACTTTGTCAGCGTCTTCACCTAGTAGGACAACATCCTACGAACACTTGAAGTTCACAGTATGACGTTCACTGAGTAGAGTAGATTAATCCCTACGAAGTCACACGTACCTCAAGTTATTGTCATCAATGTACATGATAACTCTCCATAAGCCCTTACGCGGTTGCATGAATTCGAGTGGAGAGCTCTGATTGGCTTTATGTACTTGTTGTGTGCTCCGTTCACAGTCAGACACTGCCACAACACCTCTCGGTCAACTGAGTTGGAAGCCTCCTTCACATCGAGAAATATGTTAAGTGTCAGCCTGTGACCAGTAGGTAGTAGGTATGCCTGTGTTCCAGAAGTGTTTTGTAGGGTGGAAATATGATTGAGTCACTCTCGTTCATCTCTCTCTGAAACTTGTATGACTTTGTTGAGCTTCAGTAAGGCGTTGGATAACTGAGGACTGTAGGATCTTGGATACAATATTAGTCGAACTAATTCCCCAGTAGTCGCCACAAGAAGATTTCTTGTGCGTTTTGGAGACTGGGTTGATTAGTGAATTAGGTCAGTGTGAGGTCAATGCCCGTGATTCCCATTGGTTAGATGGTACCTGTGTTGATGTATTTAGTAATTTTCTACCTCGATTGTTGTAAACCTGAGGTTGCAAAGTGTCAGTTTGTGTTATTTTCATGGATTCAGGTTTGGGACAACTTTTTCAACTTCGAGAACATTTAAAGGACCGACGCGTACATCTGATTCAGGTTTATGCTGGGAGTTTGACAACTGAAGTGTTGCTGGGGATTAGTTAAACGGTGATTTGAAGTGTTCTTCTCAAAGTTCTAGCTGTCTTTCCTAAGGGGTTATTGGGGTCCCATACTTTTCAGTGATGGTTTCACTAAGCATCTTATTCTTGTTGACGATATCCGTAATAAGCCTCATTAGTTGCCTGATGTTATCCAATGCTGATGCTTTCTCGATGTCTCTTGGTTTCGTCTTCGCTACGCTGCTCGCGACTTGAGCGAAGACTCATGGTCAACTTACTTTTGAGTTACCTTTGCTCTTCATCATGGTCAGAGCCAGTTGGAATAAGTTTTCCGGTATGAATCTGTTCGGATAACGCTTGGTAATCGGGTGTGAGTTACCAACTGTTTTCATCGATGTTTCTACAGGAGACTTAATATCACTCCAGGTTTCCACAGGATGAGCACTACGTTCATGTTCAAATAAATGTTCGGCTAACTAATTCGTAAATACGTACTTGGAATCATTAGCTATCATTCGGGCACAGATGGGACTCAGTGCCTGTTTATTCGCGGGACCAGTAAGGCGCAGATGTACACGAACCCATACTAGTGCGTGGTAGTAGTTTAAACTCGTACTCCGGAAACAGCGGCAATCCTCTATCGACCCTCTTCAACGATGGCTTACAGCAATGTGATCCACCTGCGTTCATCATTGATTTGATGCCAGCGAACAGCGTATGAGACGGTGTCTCTTTTTATAACTGAAATTAGAGCCGGTCAGCAACAAGTGGTTGTTGGAGCAAAATTGCAACAGAAGATCACCACTATCGGTTCGTTGGAATAGGATTCCGTAAATACTTCCCAGATGTCTCTGCAAATGGCTCAGCTTCCCTACTTGACTGTTAAAGTCACCTGCCACTGACTACATCTGAACGTTTTGCCTTCTTTAGCAAAATTGACAACTTCGCATAGAATTCATCCTTTGCATCATTTGAACTGTAGTTGGTGGGTGAGTACGTGGAGACTATGAATAGGCGTCACCTAATTTTACGATTCTTTCCAGTTCTAACAGCGCATAGACGGCTATTGACTGGTATCTAGCGAAGAAGCGCATCTTGTCCTCTATAGCTCAATGCTATAACTACACCAACAAGTCCACGAGCGCCAGCCATTGGGTCTCAGGATACTCTTGAGGTGAATTTTGAAGATTGACTAATATGGCCAAGTTAGGCCGATTTAATAACCACACTCGGGCACTGTATGCGTGCCTTGGAGGCACAGAATACATCCATGACTAGAGATTCCAGAGTTCCGACGAGCGATGCTTAATGTCCGATTTGGCATATAGTTCGGGAAATGAAAGCTCCTACATAAAATCGATGGCGGGGTCTTAAGAAACTAGAAATGAAGTTTTGATAGCTTTGATCTTTGGCAATGGTCGCAGCATGAGGGGCTGAGGAAGGTGTAAGAGGATTAATATTAGTATCAAGAGGTGAAGGAGGAGATGGAGTTGAGTCGGATAGGTTATGTTTGATCGCGTCTTGTGTACTACTGGAAGTGTGCGAGCAGTTGATACTTCGTGGCTACAGACACTGTGGAACGCTATTTCTTCTTAAGGTACTCGAAAAAGGAAAGATATGCGTGACCGAAGACCTCACTAGACATCTGCTTGATGCCAGTCATACACGATCTTTTGTGGGTTGTTGTTTTGAGGCTTGGTTGTTCTGACGCCAGACAAAGAGCACCTATACCGCCGGCTCCGGAGGGCCGTGGGGCATGGTGGATTGAGTTACTTTTGGGACCTATCTTTTTCTAAAGCTGCTTTTCATGGAAAATGCAGCATCAACGTGGCACCACTGGTCATTCAAGGGGAACACCCTACTGCTCCCACAGTCGTTCCAGATAGCAGCAGTACGGCTTCGCCCCCAGACTCCCATTATAATGTAGTAATTTACACTACAACGGTAACTGCATCTCGTCTCATCCCTACCCAACAGACATTTATGGCATATTAGAATCTCGAGGGAAGAAGCATTTCAGTCAATGCAGCTCATCATTGGGTCGTCCTGATATGTAAGCCCGACCACTATGTCAAGTTAGCAGCTATGGGTCACGGGCAGTATATCCCCATAACTTCAGCTCATAGAGATGATTTGTTCAGGTTAAACCCAGTTGAACAGTTAAAAACTACTAAGCTGTAAAAAATATCAACGTAGGCCATGAAATGAGTAAATAATTTACAGATTGATCATGCAGTTTAGGGTATGACCATTTTTGAGGGTAAGCAAGCAGGATACAGTTCAGCTAAAGCATTTGGCTTAGTAAATTGATTATGTTTTGGATACACCACTGATGAGCTCGGTCGAAAATAAGTGGGACGGTTATCTGGTGCTTGAAACGCTCTGATCTAGACAATGAAATCTTCAGTTTACGATCGGTGCTTTTCTTACGTAGTAGACATAGGATCCAGTTGGAAGATAGCTACGGGTGACTAGATCAAAATGCAGCCTTAAACCATGAGATATCAGACTGTTGAGCTGAGGTGCTAAAGAAATGTAAACAATCTGACCATAGAATAAAACAATGGAACATGATAACTGAATAGTATATAATGCAAAATTAACATACCAACTTGATCCAACAATTCACATAGATATCATTATTTCTAATTTCGGGTAGTTCAGAGGAATCACGTACACACCGATAAAGAACATTCTGTAGGTCAGCACATTTTCCTAATGAAGGATAATTTTGTTCTATCCATTTGATATATCTAAACAAAAAGAAAGGAAATTTCAAATATTGCACAGTAAAACGTTGTTTGAAAAAAAGAGAAAAAACACCCATGAAGTTTCAATGTTAAAAGCATAGCAGAATTCATCAATAAACATTTAAAGCTGCAATTTAAAATAAACAAGAACAGCGTACAATCAGATGGTCATTTGCATCACCAACAGGTAAAAAGAGTGTCAAGGAAGAAACGAAGGTCCTCGGAGAATATTCCAAAGTGGTTTCAGAAGCAAATTAAATCACCTGAACTCATTAATGTTGGTAGTAGACGTCCAAGTTATTCGATCGTGAAACATATCATTGACACAGGTCACAAAACTGATGTAGCTATTTCCTTTAGACCTATTTATGAACATGTTGGGCACGGAGCCTTGAATTTGTCGAGGCCTTAGCTATTAGGAAGTAAAAACCACCTTTATGTGTTCAAAAACAATTTGCTATCACATTAAATCTCCCTTGATGAATTCAACACTGAAACTAAGTTCGATGTACTAAAATTTCCGTCCTGTTGGTTCTCATTATTTGACCTTTAGTTCAGTTATCCTACTCAACCTCTTTTCACCCCTTATCTTTGTAAACTCTCATATAAATACCAACAGTAAGTTTATGTATGATCAGGTTGTTCGAAATGTGTTGCGTAAATACATTACACGGTTAAGGCAATTTGCATCGTTCTATTGTTTTGTAAAAGAAAGGGTATTTCATCTCAGTACTCCTGATAGCATAGGCCAACGCCGCCCCCCCCCGCTATCGTCCCAAGGGAGACTCTGAAACACAGACAGAAAAGGAAGTTTCCAACTATTTCCTTTTATCGAAACGTTTGTTTGGTTTTTGCTTTCTTTATTCAATAAATCTTGAACAGGATACACTTTGTAAGGCTGTACACATGAATTGAGTTGCAAATAATCTACCAATGAAAAAGATCTTAAGTATTTAATGGAATGTACTAAAAAAAGAGGAATTTCCTAACGTGTACGTAGACTAGCGCAGGTTTTTAGAAAAAAATATAGTCGTACACTGGAAGCAATAATGCATTTGTCTGTCATACTTGTTAGCTGAACGACTAACCATGAATTGAAAGACACTAGCCAGTTGAATATACACTTAACTGCTCATCACATGTTGTATTAGTGAAATGAATGGAGAGCACTCAGCAACCCTGCGAGCTACACCTACTGTGTAAGGGCTAGCGATACTACCACATGGCTGCCGAAACCTCGGCAGGTGGAACGAGGCTCGAATGCATGACCCATTGGTTGAACCAATGTGCTACAGCTACTTTATACTAAAATAGTGTACACGGTTATGGGAAGTGTGATGGTATGAAAGCTATTTATTTACTTTGAAAGGTTGTCAATGCAAAGATTTTCTATTTGTAAACTAGGCGGTTTATGTAGAAAATGACTGATTTCAAGGTAGTTCTAATCACGAATTGACATTCACAACCAAAAGAGTAGATCTTAACATCATTTATTTATGAGGATATGGAAGGTGTAGTGTTGAGGATTTCAAGAGGCAGAAAGAAACAGCCATTCGGTATTATCTGATGAAATCAACTTATAGTCAGAACTGTCTTAAGATTATTATGCTAGATATTGGCCAATAATCCATCTATTTTATAGTATACTGGATACCATGCAAGCAAGTTGATGAAATCTGATTGATTTGAACAACTTCAGTTCATCACCTAAGTTTGTTTGAGTAAAAAGCTAACCAGTTTTGCACCAAATGAGTATAACAGCCTTTCATTCTATATGCCAAACGACGTCTATAGAACAATGAGTGTATGTGATGAATGACTCTTCGTATTGCTCAGCATCATAATGAAAGGCGACAACCATCTTAAACTATGCGTTGTTGAAATACATATTCACATGTTTCAGTGAATTTAACTAAATTTTATTCAATTTAGGAAAGATGTAACGTTAAGATCAAATAAGATGACAATAGCTAACCAATTCAAAGAAGAGCGAAGTAAAGCTGAAGATATGTGCCTACACACTCACCCACACACCCAAAGAGATAGAGAGAAGAACTTAGAGTCTAGCAAAAACACCCAAGGAATAGAAGCAGACAAACATACAAACAAAAATACAGGGTCAATAAAGTATATGGATGTTAAAAATTCACTAAAGAGTAACAAAATGTTCAAACTTCAGGAAACAACACAGAATTAATACATTAGTTTCAGTCAACCTCTCCATCCAAAATTGTCAGTTAACAATTTTGAACGTCTTGAGGACCCATTACCTGGACAACTTACACTGGCAAAATTATCTCAAACAAATAGTCAATAGGTTTATGGATTGATTTCGTATTTTGCTCTTGTGACAATTTAACTTACCTTACTATAAGTAAGCAAGTGTGAATAAGTATCAATCGTAAAAAATCGAAAAAACAAGGTGTATGTGTTAAATTCATCTCGTCTAACAGCATTCTCAATTTTGAATTTAGGTGTTTGTAGGGATTTAGTGACTTCTCAAGTTGATATTCATCATGAACTGACATCAGTTGGAGGAATATTGGAATCCTGGGAGCACCGGATAGTTGTTTCGTCGTAGTATGGGACTCCACAGCAGTGGCCACTAATGACCCCACACCCCAGGGATTGAACCCAGGACCACCAGGTTCTGTGGCCAGCTCGTTACCATTGACAAAGTTTGGAACATGGACCGTTGGATTCCGACCCAGTAGCTCAGTGGTAACGTGCTGGTCACGGAACCTGAAGTTCCCGGGTTTGAGCTCTGGGGTGCGAGGTCATGGGTGCCCACTATTGAGGAGTCCCACACTACAACGAAACACTTATCCAGTGCTCCCAGGTTTTCGTTGGTTCTTCAACTGATATCAGTCAATGATGAATACCAACTTGAAAAATCCTCAATATTGTTTGCAGTAAAATTATCAACTTATTGTTTGAATTAATGCGATTCATCTACTCGGTAGAGATTTCCTGCATGCGGCTAGTAGCTAGACTTGTGTGCTGTCACACGATACTACCATGTTGCTGAGGTCATAATTGGCGGAATTAGGATTGGATAAGGTACGTATTGCTTGAAAGTCATGTGCTAAAACCGATGAGCCTCAGACTAATCGGAGAGAGATGTAGAGTTGATTTTATCAACTGGTACTCCAAACCAGTTACTAACCTAAATTTCTATGAGGATAGAATGTCAGTAGTATTAAACAGCGCATAACAAAACACAAAACGAATCCCATAGTCACAGATTATTTAACCTAAAGGCTAAATATGTTTTCATTTTATATATACTTACCCTAATTATTTTATGCGAAATTCTTATTAAAAACTTGGTTTGTATGGAATTTACAAACTCGTGCCCAGATGGAATGAATGATGTAAGATGTTAAGTAACCGAAATAAGATTTCCAGTTTTCTAAAATGTGCGGACAGTGTCCAGTAAGAATGTCAATACCCTAGCACAGATGGTTATCAATTGGATGCAAGCATTCAGCAGGAAGCCCAAGTTGACCTAAGTTCTGTGCTTTTTGGCCACCGAGGCGTCTCCAGTTTCGACGGAATTGATGTTCCGCTTGAGATTCGAACGCGTGTCACCCAGGACTCCAGTCGAAGATATTGCCACTGAGCTATTCGAATGATGACCGACCTCCTGTAAGACTGGATGGTGCAAAATTGATTGGTCCCCACCCCCAATGACCAATCAATGCAGACAGCTAACTATATCAACAAGTTAAAAGTCATAATCACTTTGAAATTCAGCACATACAGACACATGATACGTCACTGAAAAAATGATAACACGTGAAGATAAGCCGCCGATCCAATGAGACGTAAAAGAACGCTTTCAATATTAATTTTCTTTTTACACCATGGGGAAATCTGTAGAACAACCTGAAAGATATTTGTTATTGTTATTATCATCATTATTGCATCATAGCTACAGCAACAACGGTTACCCAGCTGTGACCAATCGGTAGGCACAATCCGGTCTTACAGGAATCAGTAGTAGCCTGAATAGCTCAGCGTTTGAGTCCCTGACTTCCTCACATAGTGATGTAGGTTCGAATGACTGAGGGTGAACTAGTTCCCTCATGGTTGCAGATATGCCATGCTGACGAGTGCGGGCAACCACAAAACTTAAACTGACCAAAGCCACCTGCCTATCGACTACTATCTAACATCAAAATACAGTGAGACAACTTTTCAACTCAGATCCATGAGACTGAAGGTTTGATTTTGATAACAGCAAGTATGGTAGCAAATAATGCGAGCAAATTCCTAGATTTTATTAGTTCATACACTCAGCACCTACTGCCAGGAACACAATGCAGACAGCTACAACACTGACAGACTGATTAAAACAAACATTGATACTGGAAGATACTAAGTAGCTATTTAAGGAACATGACGTCAGGATCGACAAATATGAAGGGAAGATCAATCGAAATCCTCAATTTTTACACATAAGTCTTTTAACAGTTTATAAGAGAGTAGCAGATTCAAAAAGTGTGGTTTTAAAGACAATTGTTTCTCCAGCGTGGCGTTTTATTGTGAGCAGTAGACCAATGAAAAGAGCAAGCAGGTGTCCGTTAAAATTTTAGGTCTATATTCACATTTATTTCTCATAATCAATAAACAACCTCCTTGTGATGTCTTCATTGGGAATTAGTCTTAAGTCAATAGTCGTCAAATAATATAATAAAGCACCACGTTTTAGCTGAACAAAGTCAATATACTGGAAAGTTAGCATACTTTGGAAAAAACAATAGCTAAAGACAGAGAAAAACCGATAAATCGGCATAGAAGCTTGCACTGAAGTGCGAAACAGCATACATCACAGAAACACATAAGGAGGAAGTGGAGAGAAAGCGAAATAAAACAAGAAGGCAAATAGGTGTACAAGAGGAGAGTAAATAAGTGAATAAATCATTTAATATCAACATGGTACCTAGGATTACTGAGCAATGACTAATGTTCCCACACCTTGGATCAGGATATTGGAATAG